GCCCTAGGCGCCACGATTCACATACCAGGGGTGATTGTTGCACACTTGACCGCCACATTGTACCTGAGAGACAATAACGAACGGGATTGTAACGAGATGTTTAGAAGTGGGAACGATCGTGGTAATGAGGACAAAAACTGCACCACAATCACCGAGCTGAAAAAACAATGGGGGGGTTGGGGAGAATGAGGGGGGGGGAGAATGAAGGGGGGGGAGAATGAAGGGGGGAGATGAGGGGGGAGATGAGGGGGGAGAGGGGGGAGATGAGGGAGGGAGGAAGACAAGGAGGGTTCGCCATTGAGGAACCAAAGTTTTGGAAGCAGAAGCTGAGACAGAGGCATCCTCTTGGCTCGAGCACGTGGGGAGCCTGCTTACTTGAGCGTTGCCTGAGCACTCTCCACCGTGACTTGGTCGTTTGTGGCCTCACGATGGGGCAGGCCGAGGTCGAAGTACTTGATGTTGAGGTCGAGAAAGGGGTGTATCAGCTGCAGGTATTATGTATGCAGGGAGAAGAGAAGGGTGTTTGCACAGCGATGGGGCAGGCCGAGGCTGTTGTACTTGGTGTTGAGGTCGAGAACGGGGTGTATCAGCTGCAGACACTCGAAGCAGGGAAGGATGGATGGAGACGACATTGCGTAACGACGATTTTTTAGGCGTCTCAAAAATCGACTTTGCATAGCGACGACAACGACGAGTATGACCCGACGGTTCGGGTCTTATTAGCATGACGACGTAACGTGCACGCACGTATGATTTGCCTTTTCTTTGATCATGGACCAGATGACCCGCGCCATTTCATCTCCGTTAAGTCATGGTTATGCTACATACATACATATGGTGCACGCACCTTCTCTTTGATCATGGACCAGATGACCCGCGCCATTTCATCTCTGTTAAAAGTCATGGTTATGCTACATACATACATAGGGTGCACGCACCTTCTCTTTGATCATGGACCAGATGACCCGCGCCATTTCATCTCCGTTAAAAGTCATGGTTATGCTACATACATACATAGGGTGCACGCACCTTCTCTTTGATCATGGACCAGATGACCCGCGCCATTTCATCTCCGTTAAAAGTCATGGTTATGCTACATACATACATAGGGTGCACGCACCTTCTCTTTGATCATGGACCAGATGACCCGCGCCATTTCATCTCCTGCAAATCAGTGGTACGCTGCATGTGCACTTGCCGTTAGCCTGACGACATAGGGTGCATGTACCTTCTCTTCTATCATGCCCCAGATGACTCGCGCCATTCCATCTCCGTTACAAGTGATGGCCATACTACATACATAGGGAGGGTGCACGTACTTTCTCTTTGATCATAGACCAGATGACTCGCGCCATTTCATCTCCTGCGAAACAACATCCGAAATTTATCAAAACTTTTGCAACGGTGCAGAAGAAGAGGGGAGAGATCAACAGCAAATCCGTACCGTCCATTTCCACGATCGGATTATCCACCGGGATCTTCTGGAACCCCATGAGCGCCCCTCCGCCACTCTCGCCGCCCAAAAACGACTCCAATCTGACCGTTACGCGACGGCTGTGACTCGGGGCCTTGGCAGGAATGCTCAGAAAACGGCCGAAGGTCGCGGGTTCGAATCCTGGATCTGGAGGAATTCTGGCACGTAATCCGGTAGCTATTCTGCTCCAGAGATGCCTAAGGTGTGTCATGCGAGATTGACCTAAATCTGCGAGTCTGCTTTCTGAAAGTACTCTTGATTCAAGAGCGAAAATCCGACAGGCGAAAGCTGATTCAAGCAGCAGGAAGACAGAACCTAGCTCCCGGCTAGAGGGCTGGTCGATGCAAGAGGAAGGCGAACGAGGCGCGGAAGCAGAAGGTGATTGGTTGGTTCAGGTACTCTGGGCACCACGGACTCGGCGATGTACATATTGTATAAGTTGAGTGTGCAACGTGGCAGCATGGAAACAAGGCATGGCTGGAGAAGCGTCAGATACACGAGAATCCCTTCCTACATCCCTTCCTGTGTTCATCTTGGATTGATATTGAAACCTACATCTTCTATTACTATTTTACCCTGCTTCCCTTCCCTCCTCCATTTCATATTTCCAAGAAGTGCCACAAAACTCAGCAAAACGGGTTATTTCCTTTCCATAATTGAATATACAATATAGTATGCTCTACAAACGGATAAATAAATCAATTGACAGCACAACATTTCTAGTGTGCTTTGAATAGTTTGAATGGAACAATATTTCGCATATGTTATATCATGAGATACGTTTTAGTATCTTTGTGGCCGACTGCACTAGTGCAGTGGTTCATTTTCGAGAACCGAAGACGACAAACGCCCGTTAGTGCAGTCCAGTAGTTTGTTGTGTCGGTCGAGAAAAGTCGAGTGGGCTGTCTGGCTGAATTCAGTTCCTTCCGTCGTTTCTACGGCTATTCTTGACTGCTGCTGCTGACTGCTCCTCCTCCCCCTCAGTGCTGAGCTCACGTCATGCTGAGCTGATTCTTGGGAAACGTCATGTATTGTCGTGTTCCCTGGTTGCAAATGGATCCAGCCGAGTGCAGCTGGCATTTGGTCTACATTCCAGCCAATGGCAGAGGAGACAAACCCAGCTTACCGACTTCACTCTCGCATAGCTGAAGTTACTTTGTAACCATGATGTCGGTGATCCTCGTGTGGGCTCGCAGAGCTCCAAAAGCAAAATTGGCGACTTGCCCGAATGTCGTGCTTTTGAAATCTCTCGTTTCATTGGAGAACTAACATGACCATTTTTTCCCACGCGAATCTTGCACTCCCACCCACAGGCGGCTACCCATTCTATCCTGCATCCTGACTGGTCAAAAACAGTTGTTTGGTCTTGATCCGCGGTTCGACCGTAGAAATGCGGTCCGATGTGAAACTCCTTTGTCCCCTCTCCTCCTCCCCTGCCCCCTTCCCCTCTTCCTCCCCACTCCGCTCCTGTCGGGCTTTCCCCCTCGCTTGGCTCCCGTTGATGTTCTCCAATGATCTGCCCCGTGTCTGCCCATACTCTCTCCCATGTACTGTACCATCTCCGCCAACCATCACCTTTTGCCCCTCGTATCTGCGCCCTGTCCGCCGTCCCTTGCTCCCATTCTACATATGCTTTTCACCCCCCTCACATTCTCCTCACAAACCACACCATAGTCGCACAATCCTGCCGCGTCACATCACATCACATCGCTACCTCTCCGCGTCACTGTGCTGCTGCGAAGCAGGATTCCACTTCACTCCACACACCCACACACATCCTTTTTCCAGAAGTCTCTCTATGTTCTCTACCCCTCCTTGACCGTCACACTCACATGATCTCCTCCCATCGGTACATAAACTCCGTCAGCGTCGCTTGCCGTTGCACACCATCTCACTCACCCACACGACAGCCTATCCTAGCTTTCCCACGATAAGCTGAAGTCACCCCTTTTGCATGTAGAGCAGCAGCACTAGCAGCAGACGCAACAGCAGGGACTGACAATGGCGGATCGCCACTTTCCATCAGCCCGTGCTTCCGCGGAGCTCTTCAACGCCTTCGCCTTCAGCGGCGTCGTCGGCGAGGGCCAGTTCGGCCGCGTGTGGCGCTGCGTCGACCGCGCGACGGGCGCCTCGCTAGCCTGCAAACAGATCCGCAAATCCAACCTCACGCAAAACGAGCTGGACTCTCTCGAACGTGAAATTTCCGCCATGAAATCCCTACACGGCCATCGCCACGTTCTCCCGCTCCGCGGTCTGTACGAAGACGAGAAAGCCGTCTACATTCTCACGGACCTGTGCGACGGCGGCGATCTATTCAGCCACGTCGTCGAGACGGGCGGGATCCCAGAGCGAGCGGCTGCGATGATCTTCGCGCAGGTCGCGGACGCCGTGCGATGGTGCCACATGCACAGGATCGTGCATCGCGACATCAAGCCCGAAAACGTTCTCATCACCACCACCACTCTCGCCACTGGCACGACGGCTAGTAGCCCTAGTACCAGTCCCGCGTTGCCTGTTCAAGACACGTCCGACGTTCGATTCGAAGCGCGCCTCGCGGATTTCGGCCTCGCGATGGAGATCCCGAGGGGGTTCTCTCTCCGCGGCGCGGTGGGCAGCGCGCCGTACGAAGCGCCGGAAGTCCTTGCGGGAGATCTCTACAGCTTCGGCGCGGATATCTGGTCTCTCGGGGTGCTGCTGTACGCGACGATCTCCGCCAAATGGCCGTCTTTCCCGGGGAACACGCGGAGATTGCTGCCGGAAGTGGATTTTTCCATCGCGCCCTGGCCGTCCGTGTCGCACGAGGCGAAAGATCTCATCCGTCGGATGCTGACGCTGGACACGACCCAACGGCTGGATATCGATGGCGTGCTGGCGCATCCATGGCTCCGACTCGGACCCCGAGCCTTCGCTTACCCGCCGATCAATAAACCGCTCCAACTCGCATCATCATCAAAATATTCATCATCATCATCATCATCATCATCATCATCGTCGTCGTCGTCATCGAATGCCCCTAAATCGGCGGGCGATGCGCAATCGGATCAACCCAACGCGCTCAGATCACCCAACGGTGTTGGTACTACTACTAGTACTACTACGACCACGCCCACTGAATCTCCCACCACCGCTTCCTCACCTACCACTGGTAGAGCGTTTCCCCCGTCTAAAGCGCGCCGAAAAGACCGCTCGCGTGAGCCCGAGTCCGACTCGAGCACCGCCGGTGCCGCGAACGGCGCAGGCGGCGCAGGCGGCGCAGGTGACGCAGGCTGGCCGAGGCAGGCCAGCTTTGGCGACTGGAGCGAGTGCGGAGCGGAAGGTCGTCGCGCGGACACTGGTCGCGCGGACGCTGATCTCGCGGACCTCTATCGCGCGGAGGCCGACCGGCGCAGCGCGGCGGAAGCAGCGAATTGCGGCGCTGCCTCGTCGCGTCAGTTGTGGTCGCGGCGCCCACCGACGACTGCGTCCGACGCGTCGTCCCGCGGAGGCAGCAGGAGCAATAGCAGCAGCGGGAGCGACGGCTGCAGCAGCAGCAACAGCGGAAGCAGCAGCGGCGGCAGCAGCAGCAGGCCGAGGAGGTTGAAGCGGGAAGTGGGGATCGGCGGCAGCAGCAAAGAGAAAGGGGCGCAGGCTGACACTCGTCCTGCAGCTCAATCCCCCGCAAGCGCACGCGTGGGCGGCCCTCCCAAGTCTCCCTCCCATACCAATCCGTCCCTATGGTCTCCTGCCGGGACTCCTGCCGGGTCTCCCGCCGGCAGCAGCAACGCCCCGTCGTCTGCCGTCTCCCGGCTGTCCCCCAAGGCGGCGTCTCCCACGCTGCCCTTCCCGCGGTCTGCATCGACCCAGTCCATGGCTTCCCTTCCTCTCCAGTCCCCCAGGCTGCCCCCGCCCCGGGGAGCATCACCCACGGCCAAGCCAGCACCTCGCTCGTGTCCCCCCCAGGGAATTCCCCTTCAGCCGTCTACCCCCAAGGCTTCTCCGCGCGACAAGCCGCGCACAGGGGGGTTTTCAGCCTTCCCAAAGAGCCTCTCCGTGAAGGGGGCATCAGAGAAAGGGGTGTCTGAGTCCCTGGCTGGTAAGCCTCGGCCGCCGAGGAGACTCACTAAGCCCAGCAGCGGCTCTTGGAACGAGGGAACCCCACCCAGCAGCAGCAGCAGCAGCTGTTCCCGCACCTGGCATCGCCGCACGGTCTCGGATGTTGAGCGCTCCCCTGCTATTCCCATCGCTGTCCCGGAGCTCCCTCTATCGGATCTCCCTGTACCAGACCTGCACGTTTCTGACTGTCAGCCATGCCCTCATCCTCCTCGCATTGTTATTCCATCCAGCCCGGCAGTGAGTGACTCGCTCGGTGATGATATTGATGACAATGAGCTGACCCCTACTTTCTGCTTTCGGCCTGCTGCTGCAATCCCCTCCCCCTCTGGTAGCCCACCTGCCAGGGATATTTCTTCCCCCGCTGTTTCTCCAGATGGAGCGGCAGTTCAGCACAGGCGTAAAATGTCACTATTGCCCTCGGTTGCCTCTTCCTGCTCGCGCTATGCTAGGAATATTTTTACGCCTGCGGCAGTAGCCATGGCGTCTGGTCCATGGCAGTGGCAGTAAGCATATCGATAGATCTTGAAATATGTTAGAGTAGGTTATTGTACTGGGATGTGTTTTTTTATATATTGCCCACCAAATAATTGCACAGTAGCCAGAAGGCATTAAAAATAGCTGTTCCTCCTGTTTTGGTCCACATTCTTGGCCTAGGTGACATGCAAAACTAGTGAAGGATTCAAGTGCTGACTTGTGTTTGTTTCTCATTAGTTTGTCACACAAAGGACTCCTTGAAGGTACATCTTTAGGCCGCTATAGCGAACTGTACTATTGATATGAAAAGCTGTGTTGCGGAATAATCCCTCCGCGTGTGAAACAACCAAGGGATGGCCGAACGTATGTGTCCGAAAGATATGCGACGCGGTTGCACAAGGACCTGCGAACCTGAACAGCTGAGGAGATGACACAATGAAGTGGGATGCTCGCCTCGCCGGGGTGGCAACTGGAAAAAAGCCTCGCAGTGAGGTGGCGTTGTCCGTGCGGTAGGCGCTCTCACCTGTACTCTGAGGCTGTACATACGTACAGTGCCAGCTGAGCAAGTTGTAGAGTTCTGATTGTACAGAACGCCAGCCTGTTTTGACCTCACACACCCTTCCCCCACCTGTGGGGTGGGGTCCCGTTCCCCGAACCCCCCAACCCCCCGAACCCCCAACCCCCCACACCGCGTGCCCCTCCCAAACCAAACCTGCACTCTCTCACCAACAGCTCCGCCAGCCCCCGCCAGACACCGCCTGCCTTTGTTCAGGGGAAAGACCCTGTCCGTGGCATGGAATACTTCCCCTCACCTCACCCCTTACCCCACCGTGCAGCAGCACATCCCCGCTCAACCCTGCAAAAACCTGCAAAACCCCTCACAACCCTCCCTCCTCCCTCCCTTTTCCCCGTTCCAGCTTCCCCCCTTCGCTTCCCCCCGTTCCTCGTGCCTTTCCTCCCTCCCTCCTCCCACGCGGCCCGCCCTTCACTCTCCCCTCGCGAGCGTTTTCTACTCCTACCGTGTCCGTTTCTCCCGCCGTTTGCTTTTGCAAGGGATGTCCATAGTGGGACGTCAACATCCATCGACATCCGTTGGGAATGTCGAGAGATTTCGACCATCGATTCCTTCCAATCGATGGTCCACATTCTTCGACACCCCCAACGGATGTCAATGGATGTCGACAATCCAATGGACACGCCCTAACTTGCTGGAATCAGAATCTCGGCAGATCCGAAATACGGTTCTGTTTCACGTGCATACAGTTTTCGTTTCGTGTGACAGTGGCGCCACAGCTGGTGACCGCAACCAAAAGGCAGACACTGTAGGTCTGGTCATTCCTAGTGACCATACCTACGACAGTGTACTAGGAATGGACTTCCTCCCTCATGGGTCGCCAAGGAAGGAAAGCAGAGTTTGCGTGCGGAAGCATTTCTCGTCGTCTCCTCTACCACAGAGCTACGACAGCTAGGTTGCGGATCTAATCATGCTCCAGTTATCAAGTCTGCCCTCTTCCTCTCCTCTACCGGTACTCTAGTGCACTCTGGCGGCAAAGCTGCTTTCAATAAAATTCCAAGAATCACAGCCTGTGGTGAATCTTCGATTGTCGGCTGAATTGGATTTTGGGACAAGTGTGGTTCCATCCCCCCACCCACACCCCCCCATGTGACAGCCCTCCCCCACACACGCTGTAGAATTCGCTTCCACGCGGATTTATTCCGTTCCCCACGCGCCGCGTTGCACTTGCCGGCCAAAGAAAGCAGGCGCGCAGCATGTTCCGCGCAGGAGCATGGCCATCCGCGTTGGGTTTGTATCGAAGCGCAACCCGACTCGGGACCAAACGGACTTCCCCCCCGCCCCCGCCCCGCCCAGAACGAGCTTCAAAGCGAGCTCCTTTCCTCTCGTCTGGTCAATCGATCTCATCGCGAAATCTCAGGAAAGATTCAAAGCCGCGCGCTCAAGGACGGAAACGTCATCGACACAGTGTTTCATCTTCACGTTTCCTCCTCCTATCCGAGGAACGACTTCCGCTTTCGTCCTCGGACGCTTGAAGCGTGGCCTTCCACTCTCCAGTGGCCGTGCCGCGACGCGCCATCCTCCCCGCCATTGGACTCCAAAGGAAAACCAATTTGAGGTCCCGAATCATTGCGCGAATCTCCCGAAACGTCTTTCTCAAGTCGCTGATTTCCGCCAAAATAGTAACTTTCTTCCAGAGTCCCTCTTCGGAAGATGGCGAGGCTCTTTCCCTCAGCGCGTCCCTCGGCGGATCTCTTCCGCTCCTTCTCCTTCGACCGGGTCATCGGCGAGGGCCAGTTCGGCCGCGTTTGGCGCTGCGTGCATCTCACTTCAGGGAACCGGTTCGCGTGCAAGCAGATCCGCAAATCGCGGCTGTCGGAGCACGATTTCGAGTCGCTGAAAGGCGAAGTCGCGAGCATGGAGAGATTGCGAGGGCATCGCCACGTGCTGCAGCTTCTCGCGCTCTTTGAAGACGAAAAAACTGTCTACATGGTAACCGATTTGTGCGACGTTGGCGATATGTTCGCCCTCGTCAGCCAAGCGAATGGCCTGCCGGAGCAAGCTGCGGCTGTGATCTTCTCGCAAATCGCGGACGCAGTGAGATGGTGCCACGTGCACGGCATCGTTCATCGGGATATCAAGCCGGAGAACGTCTTACTCGATACAAGAACGTCCGATAATGGGAAAACGCAAATCGAGGCGTGCCTGGGAGACTTTGGGCTCGCGTTACAGATCCCCAAGGGTTACATGATCCGCGGCTCAGCAGGCAGCGCACCGTACGAGGCACCTGAGGTCGTTTCATCTCAACCGTACGGCGTTACAGCTGATGTGTGGTCCCTGGGAGTCCTACTGTACGCCACTCTGTCAGCCAAGCTCCCGTCCTTTCCATCTAATAAGAGGGAGCTGATTCCGAAGGTCGATTTCTCTGTCTCACCGTGGTCGTCGATCTCTGAAGAGGCGAAAGATCTCATCCGTAGGATGATGACTGTGGATTCCACCCAACGGCTGGATATTCAGGAAGTCCTGCAGCATCCGTGGATCACTGGGCGGGTGCCAGCAGCCAACGGGAGGCGGACATGTGTTGTGACTCAGCAGGCTCCATCCCTCAGAGGACAGCCAATCAAGAGGACGAAGCAAGATGGCGTTTCTGGCAGCGTTTCTGCCATCCCTGCAGCTCATTGGTTGCTCTCGCCTCTACCAAAGTCGCCACTCCCCAGATTGCAGAAAGCCTCATCACAAGCACAATGTGACAACAAGGAGGGCGCGATGAGCCCTCGCTCTCAGCCCAGCAGCAAGAGAAGACTTCTGGATTGGATGCATTCCTCCTCTGCAACAGACATCTCCACCACTCCCCACTCCCCCTCTTCTCCCTCCTCCCCACTCTCCCCCCTCTCTCCCCTCTCCCCCTCCTCTCCGCTCTCCTCCTCTCCATCCTCCGCCTCCTCTCCGCGTTCCTCCCCGTCCTCCCCGCTCTCCTCCCCCTCCTCCTCCCCTGATCTCCACTCTTTGCCCAACCCGCGCCTCGTTCGCCATTATAGCTTATCCCCGCTCGCTCCGCGCGACGTTTGAGTCAAACCTTTAAATTGACCCGACTCCTGTCAAGTCAAGGGTCCCTTCACTCGGCCAACCGGCCAAACCCTGGCGACCCCCGTCTCCACTGCCGCTTCAAGCCAAGCCCGATAGTAAAAGTGCCGGCACTTCAAGGCTTGCGGGTCGTGAATACGGCACACATTTTTCCCTGCAAAGGGTACAGTATTTCCAATGTGGTGTAGTTAGCTCACCGCATACAAGTAGTGCAGCAGTTCGGCCGTCCGTGCTGTGCCTTTTAGTAAGCTGTACAGAATCAGGAGCCACTGCTAGTAACCGGTGGTGGTGTGGCTTATTAATACAGGGATGGATTACCACCATCCCAGGCTGTAGCCACCACTAGTGTGGAGGTGGGGCTTATATTATACAGAGAATCAGGGATGGGTTAGTACCATCCTAGTGCGTAGCTATGGATTGGATTGATGTGTATTGTATCTAGAGTATTGCCGTGCCATGTGTCAGGCTTGGATTCTGTACCTACCCCTCTGTATGAGCACCGCAGGAAACAACCTACCGGTACCTACCTAGTGAATGTGAATAAGTTGTACAAATGTGTAGGCAGGGAAGGGAGTTGCAATTACAACTCTGACAAATGTGTTCATTCCATGATACTGGTACCTAATAAGCAAACATGCTGGATATTCCATTTTGCTATGCATTGCTGCAAGACAGAATCATTATCATCTGTTACTCTGCGGCGCTGAGCTTGTTGCTAGCCAACTTTGAGAGAGTAACATACCGTAATGTAATATCGCATTACGAGACGTCTCGATCCTCTTGCTAGTCAGCTTTGAGAGACATACTACCGCTAGTAGCAACATATGGGGCCGGCCAGCTACAGTTGTTGCGCTGCGGTGTTGAGCTTGTCTGCTAGCGCGAGCTGCGTGCGAGTGAGGTTGGCCAGGTATAGCACCAGGAGCACGTCCTGCAGTGGAAGAACGGGAGAACAGGGGGAGGAGAGGGAGGAGAGGGAGGAGTGAGAAGGGGTATGGAGACGAGGGAGGAGTGCCGTTGGCCAGGTAGAGCACGAGGAGCACGTCCTGTAGTGGGGAGCGGGGTGACTTATGAGTCGACTCAAAAGTCACTTCGTTGGCCAGCTACAGCACGAGGGCCACGTCCTGCTGTGGGGAACAGGGGCAGAAAGAGAGAGAAGCGAGACAGGCGAGGGCAAAGGAGTGAGAGGAGTGAGTAAGGGGCAGTGTGAAACTGCGAGTAAGGTTGGACAGGTACAGCACCAGGATCACAATCGAGGGAGGAGTGAGAAGAGAGAGTGAGAGGAGTGAGTGAGAGGAGTGAGAGGAGTGAGAAGGGATAGTGAGAACAGAGCGAGTGATGTTGGGTAGGTGCAGCACCAGGAGCACGTCCTTCCACAGCATTCCATCCCACCTTGAGTTGCTGTGAAAGACGTCATATCACACATATCACACATATCACACACATCACACACATCACACACATCACACACATCACACACATCACACATCACACATCACACACATCACACACATCACACACATCACACACATCACACACATCACACATATCGCACATATCGCACATATCACACACATCACACATATCGCACATATATCGCAGATATCACACATATCGCACATATCACACATATCACACATATAACACATATCACACATATTGCACATATCACACATATCGCACATATCACACACATCACACATATCACACACATCACACATATCACACACATCACATGTGTCACGCATTTCATACATATCACACATATCGCACATATCACACATATCACACATATCGCACATATCACACATATCACACACATCATACACATCACACATATCACACATATCACACATATCACACATATCGCACATATCACACACATCACACAGATCACATATATCGCACATATCCAGACCATCAGTCTCATTAGCACGCTGTTGTTGAACAGGCAGTCAAACGCCTCGGTGCTTATGATCCACCGCCGCCACTGCATCCCATAGCGCCCTATATCCCTCTTATCGCAGTGGTACAGGACTCTCACCTGCACACTGTTGTTGAAGAGACGGTCGAACGCCTCGGTGCTTATCCTGGGCACGGCTGCCACTGCGTCCCACAGCGCCCTGCCCACCTCGTTGTCCGGCTCCCTCTTGCCGTCCTGCACACACACACAAGAGAGAGAGAGAGAGAGAGAGAGAGAGAGAGAGAGAGAGAGAGAGAGAGAGAGAGAGAGAGAGAGAGAGAGAGAGAGAGAGAGAGAGAGAGAGAGAGAGAGAGAGAGAGAGCATGAGTCCCTCCCTAGCTATTTAAGCTCTCTCCCCAGCTCATTCTTCCTGTTTAGTTTTCAGTTCTTTCTTTTTCTCCCACCCTTGGTGGCGGGAGAGAGGAGAGAGAGAGCGAGAGAGAGAGAGAGAGCATGAGTCCCTCCCTAGCTATTTAAGCTCTCTCCCCAGCTCATTCTTCCTGTTTAGTTTTCAGTTCTTTCTTTTTCTCCGGGATCTACAACCTGCCAACACTACTCTTGGCAAACAACCATGGAGAGCCTCACAGAGCTTACCAGAGCGCTCACGCTAGGGCGCACTTCACCGACAAGGACCTACACACGACGAGAGCCCGTCATGCGGCTTGGTCCGCTCCAGCCTCCTCAAGCAAGGCCTTCACGTAGTCCCCCAAAAGCATCAGCGCTGACACGGCACCGCCAACGATGTCTACAGCTGCAGCCGAGTCTACGCTCGCCGATACTGTCCGCATCACGGCGACGTGCACGAACTCACTGAGTTCCGTAGAACGGAGTGTGAGTCCGTCAGCATCTCCACAGCATACCCCATCGCCCGCTGCGCGTGCCAGAGCCGACGAAGCGTGGCGACTGGGATCGCAGTCTCCGCCAGCCGCTCCCTCCCCCGCAGGCGCTCCAGCTGCGCCCTCTGCGGCATCCGCAGCCCAACCGAGCGACGCCGCCCCTGGACCCCAGGGGGAGAGTCCTCACCGGTGGACTCAGCCCCCCCCATCTCCGCTGCTTCTGCCCCCCCCTCAACTCCGGTCGGCGACGCCAGCGCGCGACGGGGGGGGACAAAGGGCGATGACGCCTGTTCGCCGAACGACGCTGGTGCCACCGACGGCGGCTGGCCGTGGGGCCATCCCACCACCGACGCATCTAGGGGCGTTGGCTGCCAGGGCGGCAGCGTCCCCGTGGACCGCACGTTTAACCGACGCGGATCGAAAGGACCAGCAGAGGGGAGGATCGGCGGTGGAGGCGCAGACAGAAGGGGCGGCACGAGGTGCTGGCTCCCGGGGAGCAGGGGGGACACCACGCGGGGAGGGAACGCCTGCGCCGGCACCTGAGGCAGGGGGAAACGCGCGGGCTGTTGGTGCGCCTGCTGGTACTGCTGGGACGACAGGAGCTGCGGGGAATACGCCAGAGCCTGCGGGGGCTGGGCGACAGCACGGACCAAGCCCTCCAGGGTCGCGGCAGCCCGCCCCAGGCGCCTCTCCGCAGCCGATCCGCGGTTACTTCCCCCGCCAGCCCTCCAGCCGACGCGCTGGCCCGAACGACCGCGCGGCGCCTGACGAGTCCGGCGCTGCTGCACCGGCTCTGCTTGTGGACGGCGCTGAGGCGTCCCCTGGCGAGAGGGATGTTGCTGGCGCGGCGTCTGATGCACCCCGCCATGAGCCGCGGATGCACGACCGGTCTCCGAGGAGCGCTCGGGAGATTTCTCCTCGTGCCTCTGGGGCGCGTTTGGTCGGCCACGCGACTGCCCACGCATCCGCTCGGGGCTCTGCTGGCGAACCGTCGAGGGGACGCGGAGCCCGCGCTCCCAATCACGGTTCGACTGTGCTGGCGGACTCGCCCGACCTTGGGGGGACTCGCTATCCCAAGTACTCTCCAAATCGGCAAGACGCTCCCGCGCAGGTCGCTCCATCCCGAGGAGGCGCGCCGCACTCGGCACCCCCCACAACTCGGCACGAAAGCCGAACGGCGACCAGGGCCGCCCCGAGAGGAAACCACGGAAGCGGACGCGGAAGACTCAATACGCGGACAGCCGGAGGGCGCGGTCGCGGGGCGGCAAGGCGCGGCAATCTGTCCTCCGACGGAGGACCGCTGAACGGATTCCAGCAGGCGGCGAACAGGGCTTTAAGTGCCTCGAAACTGCAAAGAACAACTGGTGAGGAGGAGCGGGCAGACGGAACTTATATACCAGGGGAGCAGGAAGAACCCACGACTGAGACCTCCAGTGAGGAGGAAGGCGTCGAGACAAACAGGCGCGCTGGAGGAAGAGAGGCTGACCCAACTCCCAGATCTAGGGGACGAGGGTCCAGCCGCATGCCCAATACTCGGGCACCGCTGGACACCCATCCCCAGGTAGTTCCGCAGCTGTCCCCGGAAGAACTGGCGAATGACCCCTCCCGATTCGCCGTCATCGCCAATTGGGACATTGCAGTTCTCTGCGACAGTCGCCAACCCCCTCTCTCCCGCCGAGTACCCCCCCAAATCCGTCAACTCTTCGCGCTCGCCCTACTGACACCCCTCCTTTTCCTCGCCAAACATCCAACCTCCATCGAGGGTTGGACCCTGTTACTTTACCTCCCGCGCCTCACTCTTCGCCTACCTTCACCACGACGTCCTGACTGGCCCGCGACAGAAAGACGCCTTCGACAATTTCTCGCAGGCCAATGGGACACACTGTATCAAGCAGCCGCCTCTGCTGTCACCCTGCCACCCCCTCCCCGCCACGTACCTGACACCCTTGGGAAAATATCCCGCGCTGAGGGCTTGGTACGACGAGGGGGTACCCGCCCCATCGCTATAGACGAAAACTGGATGGGGGTACCCGCCCCACCGACAGTCAATTTCGCTATGTTCGCGAAGCTCCTTTCTCGCTCCGATAATGGAGTTGGGGCAGGCCCCTCCGGGATGACCTTCGAGCACCTTCGCGATGCCTCGCTGTCCAACCCCTCCGTCGCCACACATCTTCACAAACTCGTCCAGCGGCTACTCGCGGGTAACCTGCCACACAAGGTCAGCCAGCTCGTTACCTCCTCACGCCTCCTGGCCCTTACCAAACCGGATGGGGGTACCCGCCCCATCGCTATAGGCGAGTGTCTCCACCGGCTAGCGGCAAAATCCGCGCTAATCTCCTCCACGAAACCCGCGCAAGACTACTTCCTACCACACCAATACGGGGTAGCCATCACAAGCAGCGGGGAAACAATCATCCACGCCACCATGGGCTTTACCTCTGCGTGCCCGGGCTCACTCATCCTACAAGTCGACCTCTCGAACGCCTTTAATAGCGTTGACCGGGGGGCAATCATCCACGCAATCAACACCTCGCCCCTCCGCCCGCTCCTTCCATTTATACAATTCTCGTATGGCGCGCAGTCTCTGCTCTATCTCGACGCCGAGTTTGATAGCCTGCCCCTACTTAGCGCATGGGGAGTTCGCCAAGGGGACCCCATGGGCCCCCTCCTCTTCGCAGCAGCCATCCACCCAGCCCTCCAGGCAACCGCCGCGGCCCACCCCGAGGTCCTTTGCCTCGCATACGCTGACGACGTCACTTTCGTCGGCAACCCAGACGCCTGCACCTCGGCGTTCCTCACCTTCACAGCCGCCATGGACTGCATCAATCTCTCCCACAACCCCACGAAATGCGCAGCATGGTCAGCCGACCGCCTTCCCCCAGACATACCTTTCAACACAGACGGGGTCCGCGTGCTTGGCAGCTTTATAGGCACAGCCGAGGGCACAGCCGCATTCCTCCGCACCCAGCTAGCCCTGCTAGCCGAACCCCTCGCCACACTGGCCACAATGGACCCTCAGTCCTCATCCCTCCTCCTCACACGCTGCGTATCTCGGCGTGTCTCATACTTAACCCGCACCACCCCCCTTGACTTCCTACCCCTGGACGTCTGGTCTGACTGGGGTAGGGAGCTCTTCCATACTCTCCTGCGTGCCTGCAACCTCCAACCACCACGAGGCGAGGTGGAGCGGGCGCGCACTTGGGCTCAAGCGTCCCTCCCTCCCTCTCTCGGAGGACTGGGTCTAACCGACCCCGCAATTGAGGGACACCCAGCCTACCTCACCAGCCTCACCCAAGCCCAGGGCCTCTTGGCTGCCCAGGGCCTCTTGGCAGAGTCAGGAGGGCCCCTGGCTGATACTGTCCGGCACCTCACGCCACCTTTCACCAGCCCCACCCACTTGCATACCTGGCTGGCGAAGTGTGAAACGGCGATGCCCCCACGAGCCCGGGAGCTCCTGCACTCCGAGAGGAGGGAACCCTCAGGCTCCCCTCTCCAACACCGCTTAGCCCTCGAAGTCCAGGCCGTGCGATACGCCGACCAGGTGGCAGCCACGCAGACAATGGACCCAAACCCACACTCCGGGCACACCCAACGCCTCTTTTCCCTAGCTGGATATGGAGCAGGGGACTGGCTTCATGCCATCCCCATCTTCCCATCCCTCCGCCTCGAAGCTCCACACTTCGCCACTGCCCTGGCATTCCCAGCCCCCCGCACTTGCAACTGAGCCGAGGAATTCGAAATCCTCGACACTCGGCTGCCCAACCACCTGCTTCGGTGTGGCACTGGGCACGGACGGACTGACACCCATAATGCCCTGCGGGACGAGAGCATACGGATGCCCCGAGACGCTGACTTTATAGTCACCAAGGAGACCACCATCTACAGCCCTGTAGACGGCCACAAAGCCGACCTCGCCCTCCGAGACCGCAGCTCCGGAGCCGTCTGGATCTGTGACGTCACCGTCACAGATCCCATCAGCAGCCAGGATCCGGAAGCACGAAAAGGACGAGGATACATGGCCCGGGAGCAAGCCGACAAGAAAATCTCCCATTACTGAAATCGGGCTCCCTACGTTGGTTTCTTCCCACTGGAGGTCGAGACATATGGCTGCCCCTGCGCCGAGGTCCCTACCTTTTTGAAGCTGCTGGCAGACACAGGGGCCAGGTAGGCTTGAGCATGAACCCGACCCGACCCGACCCGACCCGACTTTGCCTTACCCGATGTCGGGTTCGGGTCGGGTCGGGTCGGGTCAAGTCGGGTCGGAGTTCAGGAAATGTCAACCCGACCCGTGTTTAATAGGTCGGGTTCTACCTAACCCGATTTCGGGTCGGGTCGGGTCGGGTTGGCATAGGGGCAAGGACGGGTAATAAGCCGACCCGACGGGTCGGGTTTTATCGGTCGGGTCGGGTCGGGTCGGGTCGGGTACCCGAGGCTCGGGTCAACCTTCCGCAAATGTCGACCCGACCCGTCAAAAAGTCGGGTTCGGGTCGGGTTACCCGACCCGACCCGACCCGTTGCTCAAGCCTAGGGCCAGGCGACTCTTCAATGCAGACCCCAGCTCCTACCAGGCAGCGAAACTGCTCCACCAGTTTCGTCAACGATGGTCAGTGACACTGCAGCGGGCGCAGGCCTTGGCTTACCTGGGCAAAGTAAATGAAGCCTCCCCCGCCACCCACACCCCAGTGGGCACCCCTTACGTCGATATGGCACCTGGGGACTGCTTTGCCATAGCAGAGCCCCTAGGGGAGACCGCGTAGATCCGAGCCTCTAGAGCATGCACGCACCTTGACTTGCTGCCCTTTGCCTGCCTAGCCTGTACCAAGGTTTCCAAGGAATAAAAGGACCGCTTGAGAGAGAGAGAAGGTGGACCACTACTCCAGCAGGGCTGAGTACATGGGCCTATTCCCCCTCGCAGTGGAAACATACGGGTGCCCGTGTGACGAAGTACCCACCTTCCTGAAGCTGCTGGCGCACACAGGAGCCCGGCGACTGTTCAACGCGGACCCCAGCTCCTACCAAGCGGCGAAACTGCTCAGCCAGTTCCACCAGCGCTGGTCTATTACGCTCCAGAGGGGGCAGGCCCTGTCGTACCTTGGGAAGGTGAATGAGGCCTCGCCGGCAGATTGGCCGCCCCTAGGACACCCAGATGCGGACATGTCCCTCGGGGACTGTTTCGCCATCCTGGAGCCCCAAGAGGGGTTCCAGTAGGCCTAGGACTCACTAGCCAAGTCTCCCATGTGACATGTCTCTATACCTTGCTCCCCTTGCCTAGCCTGTACCCAGGGTTCAGCAATAATAAGGACCGCTTGAGAGAGCGAGAGAGAGAGAGAGAGAGAGAGAGAGAGAGAGAGAGAGAGAGAGAGAGAGAGAGAGAGAGAGAGAGAGAGAGAGAGAGAGAGAGAGAGAGTGACAGGCCAGAGACACACACTTTGAACCATGGGTTCATGCTGTGCGAACCCATGTTTTGGCCTGAAAAAAAAGGGTTGCTGCCACTGCGTCCTGCAGCACCCTGCCCACCTCGTTGTCCGCCCCCCTCTTGCCGTCATGTGCACACGGTGACAGGACAGTGGCGCATAGACGTTCACACACACACACACACAGGCACACAAATACTTTCATCCCCACACAGTCACACTCCAAAGCAAACCATACCCTCAATAGGATCACTTACCACCACATCACTCGCATAAGTGAGTGCCCCATCCACCATCCCCTGCAGCCGCCCCATGGTGGCCTCCAGGCCCCCCGAATCTTCCTCTCGGCATAATCTCGTTATGTAACGACGCACCATAACCGCAATGCATCCACTCACCACCACGTCGTTTGCATACGCCAGAGCGCCATCCACCATCCCCTGCAGCCGCCCCATGGTGGCCTCGAGCCCCTCCATGTCCGCTGGCAGGCGCTCCACACTTGTGCGCCGCAGGTTGTCGACTGAACGCATTGGAGATGGGAATGGGGTGTGACGGAACTCGTGTTGAGGCGCCTCAAAATGGGAATGGGGTGTGAGGGAACTCGTGTTGAGGCGCCTCAAAGTGGGAATGGGGTGTGAGGGAACTCGTGTTGAGGCGCCTCAAAGTGGGAATGGGGTGTGAGGGAACTCGTTTTGAGGCGCCTCAAAGTGGGAATGGGGTGTGAGGGAACTCGTGTTGAGGCGCCTCAAAGTGGGAATGGGGTGTGAGGGAACTCGTGTTGAGGCGCCTCAAAGTGGGAATGGGGTGTGAGGGAACTCGTGTTGAGGCGCCTCAAAGTGGGAATGGGGTGTGAGGGAACTCGTTTTGAGGCGCCTCAAAGTGGGAATGGGGTGTGAGGGAACTCGTTTTGAGGCGCCTCAAAGTGGGATGGGGTGTGAGGGAACTCGTTTTGAGGCGCCTCAAAGTGGGAATGGGGTGTGAGGGAACTCGTGTTGAGGCGCCTCAAAGTGGGAATGGGGTGTGAGGGAACTCGTGTTGAGGCGCCTCAAAGTGGGAATGGGGTGTGAGGGAACTCGTTTTCAGGCGCCTCAAAGTGGGAATGGGGTGTGAGGGAACTCGTTTTGAGGCGCCTCAAAGTGGGAATGGGGTGTGAGGGAACTCGTGTTGAGGCGCCTCAAAGTGGGAATGGGGTGTGAGGGAACTCGTGTTGAGGCGCCTCAAAGTGGGAATGGGGTGTGAGGGAACTCGTGTTGAGGCGCCTCAAAGTGGGAATGGGGTGTGAGGGAACTCGTTTTGAGGCGCCTCAAGATGGGAATGGGGTGTGAGGGAACTCGTTTTGAGGCGCCTCAAAGTGGGAATGGGGTGTGAGGGAACTCGTTTTGAGGCGCCTCAAAGTGGGAATGGGGTGTGAGGGAACTCGTGTTGAGGCGCCTCAAAGTGGGAATGGGGTGTGAGGGAACTCGTTTTGAGGCGCCTCAAAGTGGGAATGGGGTGTGAGGGAACTCGTTTTGAGGCGCCTCAAAGTGGGAATGGGGTGTGAGGGAACTCGTTTTGAGGCGCCTCAAAGTGGGAATGGGGTGTGAGGGAACTCGTTTTGAGGCGCCTCAAAGTGGGAATGGGGTGTGAGGGAACTCGTTTTGAGGCGCCTCAAAGTGGGAATGGGGTGTGAGGGAACTCGTTTTGAGGCGCCTCAAGATGGGAATGGGGTGTGAGGGAACGAAGGAAGTCATAAGAAGGGACTCTGCAGCCGCCCCATGCTGGCCTCCAGCCCCTCCATGTCCGCTGGCAGGCGCTCCCACGGAGGTTCGGCGAAGGTTGTCAACTGAACTGAACGACGGAGTTTGGGAAAGGGAGTGAGAAGGAAGCGGGGAGGCCATGCGCAGGTGCCATGCCATGCGCAGGTGCCATGCCATGTGCTTGTCCGCCATAATCTCCTGAAACACCATGGGCGGATGGGCATAGCAAGCACCTCACCCCAAACCAACGCTTCCCCAAACTCCCTTTCCCACCCCCCTCCCCCCCCCTCCCCCACCCACCCCGCCTTTCCTCCACCAGTCTCACACCCAGTCTCCTCACTGTCTGCCGTGCGCATGCCCACCTCAATCTCCTGAAACGAAGTGAGCGGATGAGGAAAGCAAGTGCCCAACCACCACCCCCCCAACCCCCCACCCCACCCACACACCCACTCCCTCGCACACCCTCCATCCCCTTCCCACCACCCCCCCTCCCCGCTCCGCCCCTTGACCCCATCTCCCCCCCACTCCCCCCCCTGACCCCATCTCCTCACATCCGATCTTCTCCGCGTCCACCATGCACATGTCCACATGTCCACACGTCCACGCAACACGCGGCCCAATGCCCCCTCCCTTCAAACCCCATTTCCCCGTTCCCCCCCCTCCCCGTTCCCTTACATCCGATCTTCTCCGCGTCCGCCATACGCATGTCCACCTCAATCTCCTGGAACGCCGCCGCCAGCTGCTTCTCGCCAATGAACAGCGGCGTCGACACGTACGCACGCACCGCTGACGTGGCGGCCCCTGATTGACCGTCAGCAGCAGCATTGAGGGACTGGAAAGTGGTGTCGATGGTGAGGTGGATGGGGTGGCCGGCCTCCTTAGTGTAGAAGTCGTGTATAAGCACGTCGAACGCACTCACACCCGAGCCCGTGGAGTACCTGATGTGAATAAGGGGGAGGGAGGGTGAGAGCAGGGCTGGATGGAATAAGGGGGAGGGAGGGTGAGAGCAGGGCTGGATGGAATAAGGGGGAGGGATGGCGAAAGGGGACAGAGAGAGGGAGGGGGTGGAAGGTTGGCTTTTGAGTCGACTCAAAACTCAAGGGTCGACTCAAAAGACCAAGTGTGAGGGATGGTGACAGGGGACCGAGAGGGAGGGGGTGGAAGGTTGGTCAGGTGGAAGGGATGGCCGGCCTCTTTAGTGTAGAACTCTTGTATAAGCACGTCGAACGCACTCACACCCGAGCCCGTGGAGTACCTGATGTATGTGAGTGCGTTCGAACAAACGGATGGAACGAGCGTGAGAGCAGGGCGGGGGGGAAGGGAGGGAGGGAGGGGGGTAAGAGCGGGGGAAAGAGAGGGGGGGGGGGGGGTTCACTTCCTACTCGCCATGGCACGACCAATCTGCTCAAAAATCAATCGTCCGGTCCAATACTACCTTGGCCTTGACTCGCCGAGGCAGGGAGTTGCACATCCTTCGATCGCCACCCACGATGGTCCTTCGATCCTTCGATCCTTCGTTAGTGTCACCATCCCACAGCCACTTTCGCTAGTATCACCATCCCACGATGGTCTCTTTGGGGTTAATTCGCTGGCTCAGCTAATTGCAAGCACTTTCGTTAGTCTCACCATCCGACGATGGTCTCCTTGGGGTTGACTCGCTGGCTCAGCTTATGATTGACAGTACCACAATGAATTTCGTTAGTCTCACCATCCCACAATCACTTCCTTCTCACCATCCGACGATGGTCTCCTTGGGGTTGACTCGCAGACTCAGCTCAGCCATGGCGCCACCTGCGGGTACTCGATGTCCAGCGCCACCTTGAGGGTGACTTGCTGACTCACCTAGTTACAACCTACAAGCACTTTCGTTACTATCACCATCCCACAATCCCACTCGTTAGTCTCACCATCCGACGATGGTCTCCTTGGGGTTGACCCGCTGGCTCAGCTCCGCCATGGTGCGATGGTACTCGATGTCCAGCGCCACCTGCGGCGGGAATCGCGGAAGCAATGGGAGTAAGCACAGACATGAGAAGTCCATTAGGCATGGCGGGATACAGGTAGAGTCGCGAAAGCGGGGAATCTAGTTTTGAGGCGCCTCAAAACCAGGTAGAGACGCGGACGCGGGAAATGCGATCGCCAGGAATGCGGACCAGCTTGAAAGTTGCACATTAGACGTAGCTTCCCCAGTCCCGGAGCGGGAGAAACGGATACCAGATTCCTGTTCGGTTGGCACAATAGAGGGTATTTTTGAGAATTCTCGAAAATACCCTGAGAATTCTTTAAAAATCCCCATCAGACCCCGAGCGGGAGGGACGGACACCAGATTCCTGTTCGGCTGGCACAATAGAACTCCTATTCTAACCAGTCCAGCTTTCGGCTAGGAACGAACAAGAGCATGTCTACCAGCGAGAGGGTTTAGGAGGGTTTCGAGGATAGAAGGATCTAACGGGCGGCAATTTAGAGGGTTCCGTATGTGACAGTCCCGCGAGATGTGCAGAGGGACACCGGGTTAGTCTACTATGGGTTGTGACCTAATCGAAGGGTCAGTGGTAGCTCCGTACCGTGTCGCTGATCTCGTTATGAGGGACGGCGTACGCGTTACGGATGTCTACAGTGCCATCGGGATGCACGACGCCTAGGAGCGACCCGATGACGCGCTGCGTGTCCTCGTTGCGGCGAATGAACGAGTCGCAGATGCTGAAGAGCACGGACGGATGGAGCGTGGCCGACACGGGAGCGGATCCCACGTGGAGACTCAACACGTGCGCCTGCGCCGGACCCATGGCTTCTAATTCGTGGATTTCGAAGAGAGTTATGATTATTCGCAGGAGGAATGGCGACCTGATCGAAGCCTACTATGGGAGTAACGGGACCTCGATATTAGCACGGCGAGGTTCGTCAGGCACTTCAGGGCAGGAAAGGGGAGAGACGAGGAAGTAGCGAAAGGATAAGGGGCAAGGTTCTGCTTGCGATCGTGGCGACAGGCAATGGTTGCGAAAATATCTGTCACGAGTAACGAGTTACACAAACACACAGAACAACTGGCTTTCATACACAAATGCCTCGGCAAGTGCTCCTCCTATCGGATCAGCGATTCGCGCGTATCACACACGAAGAGGTTACGCACTGCGCGCCGCGCCTGAAGCAGCACAAGCAGCAGATGCGAAACCTTGATTCTGCCATGCTCTGTCCACTGCTGCTGACCCCGGTGGGTACAAAAAAAAACGGTCCAGGGACCAGGGCTAATCTGGACTGAATTTGGACCAGCCGAGGCTTGGGCCCTTGTTCTCTCCTCCCTTGTTTCTGCCAAATGTGCTCCGTTCTCTCACATGGCTGTCCGAGGCTCCGAGCTTCGCTGCGTTCAGCGTAGGGAGTTTCAGTTACAGGTTCTACCGACCACCCGCGTTACAGTACCATTCTATTAGCGTCCTCTGCCTGAAAGTTGTTTCTCATCGTCGACTTTAGTTGCTTATATGCCTTTGAGTACGCTCCGTTTGAAATACCCCGTTGGCTTCTCGTCGAAGCGAATGACGTGCACGAGGATCCTTTCTTCGTCATCTCCTGTCAGCATTCGTGGTTATGGCCTAACCAGCACCACATCCGTAAGTGTCGATGATAGTTTAGTCTTGAGACGCCTCAAAACGAGGATCCGTTCTTCTTCTTCTTCTCCTGTCAGCGTTCGTGCTTATGGCCTGACCAGCACCATATCCGTAAGCCTCTATGCAACTGCCTCCAGATTCAGCTCGGCGCGCTTCCACGAAATCCGTAATAGCGTCGCTCCTTGCTCTGTGCTAGGTCAGCGTAGTCTATCACCTTCGATTCCGCGACGCGAGTCAGGGGCTTCCGTCCGACGCATCGGTCCGAAGCGTCATTCACTTCCACTGTCAACCACTGAAAATAGAGCCTGCAGTCGACCGCGACGGCCGGTGACAAAAATCGAATCCGGATTCAGATTCGGTTTCGGATCCGAATCTAATCTCGCCGGACGCATGGAGCATCGCAGCGGGCATCACGTGCCGAATGTCTACTATTGGGACGACTGGACCGACGGCGACGACATGCGAGCCATGTGGGCCCTGCCTGACGTCAGGGCGGCGTGGGAGCGGAGGCGAGAAGCGTCGGGGAAGGTTCCGTTCGAGATGAAGAGGGTCGGCGACAAGATGGTGCCTTATATCGGCCTTGAAGGTAATGCTGAGAGGAGGGGAGAGGAAAGGAGAGGAGAGGAGAGGAGAGGAGTGAAGGTGTGTGAGGCAAGTGCGAGGGAGGTGAGTGGTGAAGCGAGATATGAAGAGGTTCGGCGGCAAGTTGTGTTAGCCTTGAAGGTAATGCTGGCAGAGGACTAGAGAGGAGAGGAGAACACGATTCTGAACACAGGCAGCCACCCTATGTACACATGCAACCCTGCCTGCCTAAGGATCCTGTGAAGCGGGACGGATCCCCGTCACGTCGACCGCTTCAATCACACACACTATGGTACACATGCTCAAGCAGGCACTCTTCACTCCTGTACAAGCACCGCCAACTGCCTCGCCACCTGCCCCCCTTGGCATGCCGAGTCCTCTCCCCTCTCCCAATCCGAACAAACGAGCCTCGTCACCCCCAACCTCACCAGCTGTCCCCTCCCCACCCTGCTCTTGATGGCTTGATCCGAACCAACACACCCCGAAGCTGCAACTCCGCTATAACCCTGTCCCATCTCAGCATAATACACTACCATCCCCAAAAGCCCTTGCTACACTCCTGTCGCATAAACGTGCCACAACACATTTCTGCGACACCTTGAACATAGCCTGGACGAGAGGAGAGAGGTAAATGACGTCTCGGTTGCATACTCTCAATTTCCTACTCTCTCAGTCGCACACTCTCAATCGCCTACTCTCTCAGGTGCACACTCTCAATCGCCTACTCTCTCAGTTGCACACTCTCGATCGCCTACTCTCTCAGTTGCACACTCTCAGTTGCCTACTCTCTCACTTGCACACTCTCAATCGCCTACTCTCTCAGTCGCACACTCTCAGTCGCCTACTCTCTCAGTCGCACACTCTCAATCGCCTACTCTCTCAGTTGCACACTCTCAGTCGCCTAATCTCTCAGTTACACACTCTCAGTCGCCTACTCTCTCAGTTGCACACTCTCAATCGCCTACTCTCTCAGTTGCACACTCTCAGTCGCCTACTCTCTCAGTTGCACACCCTCAGTCGCCTACTCTCTAAGTGGCCTACTCGCAGTCGCATTGTCGTTCTGAAAAGTACCAGTGCTCCCACAGAGTTTCAGGCCATGACTCTCATTCTCCTCCGCCGCCCCTTCAGCACGCCAAGCAGGCGGCTGTGGGCATGGCGGGCAGCGAGGGGGAGGCGGTGCTGGTGGCGGTGGCTGTTCCCCCAATTCTCCCCACCCCCTACCACTCCCTCCCCAGAGCTCCAAGGCTTTAATTCTCCTCCGCCGCCACTTCCAGCTCGCCGAGCAAGCATTCCCTCTCTCCCGCTCTCATCACCTGCACCTCTCTCCCTCCCCCCACTCCTCCCACCCCCCACTCCTCCCTCCCCAGAGCTGCAAGGCATGGTATCGATTCTCATGTGCCGCCACTTCAGCAAGCCAAGCAAGCGGCTGTGGCCGACGGGCATGGCAGGGAGTGAAAGGGAGGCAGTGCTGGTGGTGTGCGCGGTGGCGAGGGTGGAGAGCGCGTGGCAGCCCATGGCGTACAGATATGAGAGCGGACGAGGAGAGGCCAGCACGGGGCTCATGCAGGTGAGGGGAACCACAAGGGGTAGCAACGCATCCAAAGAGTTGTCGCCGTGGCGGCGAGGGGGCGAGGATTGAGGCGCCTCAAAAATCGAGGAGAGGCCAGCAACTGGGATCATGCAGGTGAGGGGAACCGAGGGGCAGCAACACATCCAAAGAGTAGTAGCGGTGGCGGCGAGGGGGCGAGGGTTGAGAGTGTGTGGCAATTCATGGCTTAAAGGGCGGCCAGCACCGGACTCGTGCGGCTGCATGAGAGGGAGGAGGGGGTGGATAGGGAGAGGGGCGAGGGAGAGGGGCGAGGGAGAGGGGCGAGGGAGAGGGGCGAGGGAGAGGGGCGAGGGAGAGGGGCGAGGGAGAGGGGCGAGGGAGAGGGGCGAGGGAGAGGGGCGAGGGAGAGGGGCGAGGGAAAGGGGCGAGGGAGAGGGGCGAGGGGGGAGGGGAGAGGGATGGTTCACTACACTGATTTCTTTACAGGTCCGACAAGTTCTCCCTTGGTATCACGGATCTTTCCTCGTTTCGACTATCCCCCTTGTTTCTATGTAACTTCTACAGGTGTTACAGACAACAGCGGAGTGGCTGGCGAGGGACATGGGGTATCGGGCCTACACTGTTGATTGGGCATCATCCATGCTCTATCGGCCGTTCGTGGGGATGTACTATGGCATGGCGTACATGACGTGGCTCACCACTTATAACCGTGTGTGAGTGCTGCACTCGAGTGTGTTCTCCTCAGGTGTGTTCACCTCAGGTGTGTTCACCTCAGGTGTGTTCTCCTCAGGTGTGTTCTCCTCAGGTGTGTTCTCCTCAGGTGTGTTCTCCTCAAGTGTGCACTCCTCAGGTGCCCTGTAGTTGGCACTTGCGTCTCCACAGCAGTCGCCACGTGTGAGTGCGCTCGCAGGTGCCCTGTAGCGCGTAGGTGTGTGTATGTGTGCCACGTGGCATCAACTCAGCAGTCGCTGCATTTGAGTGTGCTCGCACCCCAACTGGCATCCTTCCTTCACTTCCCACCCACCTATTCAGCTCTCACAGTGAGGAGGATGTGGTGCGCGCATACAATGGAAGGTGGAGAGAGGGGGGGCTTGTCATCCCACACTTATGCCCAACCCAACCTCTTCCCTTTTGCCCATTCGTCACTCGCAGTGAGGAGTATGTGGTGTGCGCATACAACGGAGGGCCAGGGACGTGGGAGAAACAAAACGCACGCACACACACACACGCACACACACATACACACACACACACACACACACGCACACACACACACACACATGCGCACACACACACACACACACACGCACACACACACACGCACACACACATACACACATGCACACACACATACACACATGCACACACACATACACACACGCACACACACATACACACACGCACACACACACACACACGCACACACACACGTGCACACACACACACACGCACACACACACACACTCGTGCAATGTCTGGTCTTCCTCCTCATCTCTTCCCGACAACAGCACTCGCAATGAGGAGTACGTGGTGCGTGCATACAATGGAGGCCCGGGCGGGTGGGAGAAGCCGTCCACAGCGTGGCATTGGAGCAAGTACCTCAAGGCAAAAGATGTGAGACGGGAGGAGGGTAGGGGGGGGGAGTTGTGGTTGGGAGACGAGAGAGTAGTGGGATGCCTTGAAGGGATGGGAGATGCTGCCGTCCATAGCGTGGCACTGGAGCAAGTACCTCAAGGCGAAAGAGGCGAGGGCCAAGGCGAACGAGGCAAGGGCTGTAATAGAAAAAAGAGGGAAGAGTAATGGCATCCGAATGACGCACAGCATGCTAAAGGCAAAGGGTTCTCCTCAGCGCTTGCCTCCACATGGCACAGATTGCTCGTCCAGTATCATCAATTGCTCCTCCTTTTTGCTTCTGCTCTTGGCAGGAGATACTCCGCATGCCACGTGGCACATCAGCACCAGCAGCACCAGCAGCCCCATCAATCCCATCATGGTCGCCAGCCGTCCAATCCCCAGCTGGCTCGCCCCTCTCATCCGCCCCTCATCCATCACAACCCACCGTACGCTATCCTGCTGTTGCTGCTGCACACATGTCCTCTGCTGTGCCCGTCTCCTCTCCTGCACCTGTCTCCTCTGCTGCACCCACGTCCTCCCCAAAGGGGCGCTTCTTGGGCAACTTAGGC